GACCAGCTTTGCTGGACACACGGTGTCCATTCAGCCCTGCTGAAAGGCTGAGTGATCAAGCACTGCTCTGCATTTTACACCCATTTGCCCTCCTCAGCACCACACTTTGCTTTCTGGAGGCTGCTCAGCCAGGCAGGGACCCGCCATGCCTTTGCTGACCTGTGTCCATGTCTCAGTGGTGTTCAGGGTGGCCCAAGACTCAGGCTCGTGCCCACTCCCCATCCTTCAGCACAGACCTTGCTTTCACCACAGTTTCCATGTGCCCTTTCCCCACACAGCTGAGGGCTGAGAAGGCTTTTAAGGCAAAAAACTTACAAATTAAGACACTGCCTCTGGACTACGGTGCTTAAACCATGACAGCATCTCCCCCAGGCTGTGGCTGGGGTCACTGGAGAGCTCCCCCAGGTCTCAGACTCTCCCCTTCCCCACGCCCCTCCTGGGAAAACTGGAGAGGCAAAGGGCTGCTGCTCCAGCAGATTTGCAGGAGTGGGAGTTGAAGAATCAATGGAGCTCTGAAAGCCAGTGGGGAAAGTCATTCCTGACACCAGGAATAAATGATTCAGTGGGAAAGGGAAAAAAAAATATACCCACCCTCAAATGAGGCTGGAATTACCCACTGGAGAGATATTTCATCTTGAGAAATTGTGTTTGCCGCAGCGTTCATCTCACTGAGCCACAGCAAGGCTTTAATATCCAGCAAAAGGTCAAACCTAAATGGGACTTGTTCCAGCCTGCACACACACACACACACTGAGCTCCCACAGGTACTCACAGGGCTCTGAGTGGCTCCACATCATCAGCCCTTCCCACCCCCAAGGGGCCACCCTCCCCAGGTGGTTAACAGTCAACCTCCCTGTTCGTTAGGCAGTGCTTACCAGCCTGCTTCCAATTCTGCCTTTGGAATCTCTCATCACACCGGGCCTGGAGGTGGAACCCCCAGGGCTCAGTGCACAGGAGCTGCTCTGGACACGCTGCACTCACAGCCCTGCCTTCTGGTGGAAGGTGCTTGGAGCTCCAGAGGCTTTGCCACCCTCCTTCTCCTGCCTCCTCCCTATATCCAGGTGGAAAAGAAGGATAATGAGCACCAGCAGTGTGGCTGTGCATCCTTCCCCTTCATGCCAGTGTGTGCAGGATGTTATGGTGTGGCCTCTCCCACTCCCACAGCACAAAGGGCAATTGAGTGGGTTTGGGATACAGCCAGCTCAGGCAACAGTACAGAGCAACCAGCTGGCCACAGCCACCTCAGCTGCCCTCCCTTCCAAAAGGGAGGCCAAAAGACCTGTGCTCACTCCCTTTGGAAGCAGGATGGGTCCAAAAGAACAGCCCTGCCTGCTTGGGTGTCTTGAGCAGGGTGAATCTGGGGTGAAGGCTGGGACCTTCCAGATGTTTGCACTCCAGGGACCTCACTGAGCAAAGCACAGGTTTATCCTAAAGGAAGGTAGGATTTCAAGGCACTCGAGGGCTGCAGGGGCAGCTCTCAGCTCCTCATTTGGAAACATCAGTGCTCAAAATAGCTTTTGTGAGCAGAACCACAGAGTCCCTGTGGCAGTGCCTGGTCCTGCCCCACTGACACTGCAGCTCTGAGGAACCCCAAACTGCTCCCATAACGAAGATATTTTATAAGGATCACGTTTGGGTCTGCTTGGGGGTATCTGAATCCCAGAGTCCAGGCTGGTCCTGTGTGGTCCTGTGGGTCTGTGTGAGCACTCTTCTCATTCCCATCTGTCTCATGGTCCCCATGGCCACACTGTTTTTCCCACTTGTGCTGTGGTATTGGTGCTGTCTCCATCCATCCATGCATCTGCTCAGCCTCTCCTCAGGAATTTGTACTCTTCCTCATTCCCTTGGACATGGCTCTACTCCCTGGAGTTTGGCATCCCTATGCCAGGCCACAGCATTGTTCCAGGGATGAACCAGGCAGCGAGCAGATGAAGGGAAGGCAGTTTCCCAGAGAGCTTCCTGCCTCCTTTCCACCATGACAAAGGTGAGAGTCCAAAGGAAGAAAGGAGTGAACTGAGCCTTTTCTATAACATCTACTGACATCCCAAGAGGGAGCAATGCAGGTCAGCGAGCTGAGCACAGGGGGTTTTACCTAAGGCAGAGCTGAAAACCTCCTTGAACTTTAGGGTTTATAGCAAACCTGGTCCCAGGCTACAGGCAAACTTCAGACCCAGAAAAGAACTAGCAACTCTCCTGACAGCCTTGTGCCCTCTACCTTCCATCTCAGTCGTCCACCACAACCTAAAGCTCTCCTGCTTTCCTGTTCAGGGCCACATTAAGCTCAGCCAAGGCACCTCCATCCTGCCCAGAATTCCAGCTGCCCCTTCAGCCCTTCCTGATGGATGAGCTGCCATCCATGATGGGCAACACGCTGGTTTCTGTGCTGATGTGGATCACCTCTGCTGGGGAATCACCTGAAACTACCACCCTTGTTCTCACTTGTGACTTGAGCCAGATTTCACTGTGTACAGAGAGATCAGATTCTGCTCAGGTTAACACCAGAGAGGTTTTTGTTCAAACATTTACAGTTAAAGCTCACCAGAAAATCAACAGGATTCTGCTGGACAACCCTCAGCTATTCACATTCCCCAGAGGAAAACAGCGGGGTTATGTGGTATTTAAAACATACAGAGACATCCAAAAGCCAGCCTCCAGGCTGGGTCTGTGCTGTACATCCATGGCTCTGAGGGAAGCAGGAGGAACTTAATGGCTTTTCCTTTCTAATAACGGTGACCATGTGGACATAGCCAGAGTGGGCAACCAGCCCCTCACCCAGCCACACCAACAGAGGAGGAGGAGACCATCTCTGAACAGCAACCAGCAACCACATACTTGGGAAGCCAACGCTATGGAAAATGGGGTCAGATTGCTTCTCCCCATGTTTGGCTTTGTCTTTGAGCTGTTTGTGTCTCCTGGAAGCAAGTCCTGCCTGGCAACAACCCGAGGTGTCAGTGAGAGGTCTCGTCCTTTCCAGTCAGGATGTTTGAATTCAAGACTCAAACTTGTGGTTGGCAGGGAACGGGGCAAACAAACAGCCAAATGATCTGCTGTGAGTCCCTGACAGCCCAGCACAGGGCAGCAGGCAACAGTTACCCCTCCTGGGGGCCTGGGGAACATCCCCCCCTCACCCAGCAGCTCCTCACTGCTTCTAAATGTTCCTGTTGCTGCTCTCCCCACCCCAGGCCCTCTTTTTGGCACATCAACCTCTGTTTCAAGCTCTCCTCATCCATACCTGCGACTGTCCATGGCTTCAGAGTGTGCCTCTGTGGTTCAATGGTTATCTGGGAGTTAAGTCCAGCTCAAGTTGGACAAAGCTGCAGTGGCAGATGCAGAGGCTCAGGTAGAAATCGCCCTCTCCCTTTGCAAAGGCCAAAGGGTGCTGGAGGGAAGCCAAGCTCCTCCTGATGAACAGGCTGAACCCCTGCGTGCCAGCTCTGAAGGCAGAGCAGACATCTACAGATGTTACTCCCATGGGATGAGGCCAAGTTGATTTAACAGCCTCCTTCCCCTGCCTGGAGATTCAGCTTCCTCAGGGAGCCAGTGACCATGCTCAGAGACCTTTCAACTAGGCAGCACTCTCTGACATGAAGCTCCTGTCTTTGAAGGCTTCTCATGTACCTCCCAGTGCCCTGGGCACTGGCTCAGCAAGCTTCCTGCTTGCACGCACATCCTGCAGCTCCATCCCATACCTCTCCTTGCTGCTGGATACAACAGCATTGCCACGCAGCCACAGTGCATGTGTGCCCTTGGTGTGATCCCCTAAACCCCCATGCTCACAGGGAATGAGTGTGCACAGCTCAATCCTCCCAGTTGTCACCATCTCCCCCTCTGACAATGCAGCCACAGACCCACAGCTGGCAGGCCAGTGTTCCCCCTGTGCTGCTGGATAAGGGAAGGCCGGGGTGGGAATGCAGACAATGTCCTAAACAAATCTGCTGTTTACAAAGTCCCTGTAAACAGTTTACATTGCTAGGGAGAAACCATGGAGGAAGAGCAGCTGGGGCATGTCCCTCTCAGTGCTCCTGGGGGAGTGGAGCTGATGCGTGTCTGCAAAGGGTGCACACACAGGAGAGAAAAGAGGAGGCAGCAAAACCCCAGCACCAGCGGCTGCCGCAGCCTGCCAGGACCTTTGGCCACCTCACACTGCCTCCCTGAGCACAGCCCGAGGGAGGTGGCATGTCCCTGGGGGGCAAAGCAGTGTAGCCAGGTCAGCTGCACAGGGAGGCCAACCTCAGGCTCCAGAAGGGTGGTGATGCTGCTGGGTGAGCTGGCTCCTGCTGCCCAAGGAAGCAGACCTGAAGGAGCCAGCCCTGAAGCTCCCCTGGGCTCTGCGACGCATGTGAAGTGTCTTGTGACTCTCAGCCCATGAAGAAGTGCTGTGTGGCTCACAGAGGCCAGCCTCCTGCTATATTATAGACATGTATTTAAGAGTGGTTAAAAATGGGGCCCCAGAAATACCAACAAGAACATTTTGAAGTCCTGGCACAAAATAAAAGCCTCAGTGTACCTCTAATCTGCCCTGCTTCCTGTCCATGGGAGCCTCTTTGAAGTGCCTGTGCATACCCAGTGTGTCAGTGCAGCCCAGTGAGCTCAGCTGAACCTCCCCTGGCTCCAGGACAGCCCTGGGGTGCTGATGCAGTGAGCCAGGCTGGGGGCTGAATGCAGGGCCTGAAAGGCTTTGGTGGGAGAAATAGAAGGGTTAAAAGGAAAGCAGAGCCTTTATCAGCCTCCCTCAGCCCTGCTCACAGTTGAAAGGGTTCCTTATGTTACTTGAATGGCTGAGCAGGAGGTGAGAAAATGCGGCCTTCACTCGAGGAAGGTGATAAGTGCTCTGAGCCCAGAAACAGTGGCAGAGGGGCACTGGGGATGGGCAGCCAGCTGGAGCAGCAGGGACAGTGAAAACAGGCTCTCTACACATGAGGCAGCAATGCTGACCCAGTAGTTAGAAAGGAACACAGGTACAATGACAAAAACATAAAAAAGCAAGTGGGCAAACTCACCCATTTGGTGTTGAAGGGCAGGCAGAGAGGCAAGGAGACCACATTGCTCCATCTGCAAGGGGTAAGTGATGTTCATCCACATTCACTCTCGACTGCATCACCAGAAGTCCTCTCAGAGCCAGCCCTGCCTTCGCTCTCCACTCAGTCGGTCTTCCAGGGCCCCCAGTTGTGTCCCCTTCCTGACCAGGAATAGGAGGGAGGGGTCTCCAAGCAGAGCTGCCCATCTCAGCCAGCAGGAATGTCAGAGGCATCTGCAGGACCTCTCACAGAATGGACTGAAAGATAAAAATGGGGGGAATAAACCAACCAACCAACCAACCAACCAACCATTCCCAGCTAACACTGGGTTGTCAGGTTCCTTGCTCAGGCAAAAAAAAAACCCAATCCAATGATGTTTTTCAGAGCCAACCACGCGCCCAAAAGCAAAGCAAATGAGCTTGGGTTTGGATTCAGCAGCTTTTGTGCAGTTCAAAGCAGTCATCCAGCTGAACTTCTGAATGAAATGGCTCTTCCAAATGAAAACTTGAGCAATGTTGGATTTAAAGCAGTCAGAAACGACTGAAGCTGTGATCCCACACGAGTTCTGGGTGGTCTGCCCTGCCTGAGACAACTTGCTCAACGTGACCAGAAGTTTGTAAATACGTCTGCTTGACCCCACACAGCTCAGTAACAGTGACAAAGCATCTTCTGATTCAAGTCCTTTCAGAGCCATAGGGACACCCCAGTGATCCCAAAACCTACAGAATTCCCCTGTGCAGGTGGTTAGGCACAGCTTGAAATAGGTGCCAACATCCTTCAGCTTCCTTCTGGTGCCGCAGCGGGCAGCTGTGAGTGACAGGGTGCCTCTCCCAGCAGGGCCACCTCACCTCCACACCCATCATTTCACTGCGAGGTGGGCAGCAAAGCCACTGGAGCTTCTGCTTGTGAGTGCTGAGGCTCTGATTCTATGATAAGCCTTTAAAAATTGCAAAGTGAAGCAGTTCTACTTTCCAAAAAGCATTCACACTCCCCCCTTGCACCCACATGGGCTTGTTATGTTAAGGCTGATTATAAAACCTGCTTGGAGCAGCCCAACACAACCTTGATTTCTGAAAGAGTGCTGAACATGGCTTGCCTTTGTCCACGCTCAGGGTGAGGCTCTGTTAGCACCAGTTCTGCAGCTCTTACTGCTTGATGACCACTGTCCAAAAGGAGTCTTTTCTTCAGGATGCTCTGATGCATGTGAAACAACAGCCCTGACCACTCACATTCGTTTGCAAAGGCTTTGGACAAGAACTCCAGTTGCTAGCCCAGAAGTCTCATGCATTTTCCACTTCAATTGTAATTGTTGGTACTGTGGATCACTTCTCTAGAATCAGACCTAGAATCAGCTGCCTCCCAGAGCACAGGCATATGAAGCACCTCTGGTGGGATCAGCCTGCCCAAAGGATCCCACAGGCAGAGGTGGAGAGACAGCACAGCAAATTCATCTATCACAACTCTTATGCCTGATGCGACAAGCTGATCAGAAAGCACATGTGTCCTGTTAATGCCAAAGGTCTCTCAGGTCTGTTAAGCATCAATTCCCTTCCTGTTCTCAGGGGTTTTATTACTATGAACCATTAAAACACTGCCAAGATGGCCATGAATTAAACCACACATTTTCTCAGCATGAAGCTCCACTCCCATATGTTTGGCGATACACCAAAACCATCCCCTGGATCGCTTTTACAGACATCCACACAGACCAGGCCTGTACCTGCAGCCTCCTCCTGCACCTCTGAGGGGCATCCCCATCCCTCCCTGTTGATCAAGAGGAGACTGACCCAGAAATGCCCTGCCAAGACAAACAGGAGATTCTGTATTGGGATGGCTGGGATATGGCCTGTCCTGCCGAGAGCTGCTGAGGTGGCAGTGGCATTGATCACTGCCTCTATTTGTCCTTCTATAGTGCCCTCCCTGGCTTGCCTATGGTCAGAGAGGAGTGGGGGCCTGCCCTCACCCCGGCACCTCCTCACCAAGTAGTCTGTGCAGACAATCCTCCCTTACACGCATGGCCATGTTCAGGAATTCCTCTTGCAATTCCTTCCTTGTCATCCCCAAACAGCATTCCTGTGCAGAGGAGCTTGGGAAGCACAGCACCGCAGAGCAGTGATTAAGGGCCAAAACCAGACAACAAAGGGAGGCATGGCAGGTGACCTGCGCTGCACCAGAGCTGCTCTGGGACAAAACCCTCACCAAGCTCCAGAGGGAACAGCAGCTCCCAAGTAAAACCCAAGTAATAAGGGGATCTTAGGGGGAAAGATTAATCATTATTGGCAGCGAGATTGTGCAAGTCTAACAGAAGCCAAAGGGGTTTTATTACACTCCAAGTGCAGCTGGGAAGTCCCTGTTAGCTGGGAATCATTAAACCTATTGCAAGAATAAATTCTCTTTCAACCAAACCATAAAATGGGAGTAAAATCCTCTTAAGCCACTGACAGCTCCTAATGGAACAGAATTCTTTTTTTCTTTTTCCCCAAACAATAAAAAAAAATACCAAAATTGCTGCAGATTATGAGGTGAATAGATTAGGCTCCAAACCAGGCAATATTTACTCAAAGAAAACCTGCTTCATTTAATACCTGCCTCAATTAATTTTTAAGTTTGGGATTAGAACTGAACAGACCAATGACATTTCCTGATTGAGCAAATAGGGATTTGTGAATCCTGTTTGCCCACAATTCAGCCAGGACTAGAAGCACGTAGGAAAACTTTCCCTTAGTAACCCCCAGGTAGCACTGCTGCATGTGCCAGTAATGCGAGCCTGGAAGGCAGAAGGTGAAGCCAAGGTCCATCCTCACTACATTTCCCAAAGCAGGAGGTCACTACCCATCCTAGGAAATATGAAAAATATTACAGAAAACGGAAGTTATTTCCTTTATGAACATGAGGACAGAACACCCAAGGGAAAAGCAACATGAACTTGTGTTTCACTTCTTCAACATGCAGGGGAGATCAGAACCACAGATGGGTTTGGGTGGAAGGCACCTTCCAACCCCTGCCACGGGCAGGGACACCTTCCACTAGAGCAGCTTGCTCCAAGCCCCTGTGTCCAACCTGGCCTTGAGCACTGCCAGGGATGGGGCAGCCACAGCTTCTCTGGGCACCCTGTGCCAGCGCCTCAGCACCCTCACAGGGAAGAGCTTCTGCCTAAGAGCTCATCTCAGTCTCCCCTCTGGCAGGTTAAAGCCATTCCCCTTGGCCTGTCCCTACAGGCCCTTGTCCCAAGCCCCTCTCCAGGTTTCCTGAAGCCCCTTTAGGCACTGGAGCTGCTCTAAGGTCTCCCCTTCAGGAGCCTTCTCTTGTCCAGGCTGACCCAGCCCAGCTCTCTCAGCCTGGCTCCAGAGCAGAGCTGCTCCAGCCCCCAGAGCATCTGCTGTCAAAGCAGGCTTTGATCCATCTGCCAGACATGGGATGGATGCAGAGTTCAGCAGCTCCCTGCAAAGGTCTATGAGTTTGCTCTGAACAAAGACCTCAGCTGGATGCTCTGGTTCCAAGGTCGAAGCACAGATAATTGCTCCTCTTACACATGAACACAACTGGCTGGGGCTCTCAGTCCAAGAGCTGCTAACAGCAATGTGATTTAGCAACAGCTCTTAGGGCAAGCTTGGTGTACTCCCCCCTCTCTGCCAGACAGCAGGAGGTGGAGGAGAGAAGCAGAACACCAAGCTCCAGCATTCACACTGGCTCTGGACACCCAGGTGGGAAAATAAACCTGAACATCACTTCTCTGGGGCAGGTAGTGCAAGGACATAGCTGCGTCCTGTGCTCAGGAAGCTCCTTGCACAGCCAGACACCTTCTCCTCTAAGCCCTCCACTCTTGAGAAGAGCATCATCTTCTCATTTTAACCTACAAGCCATTACTTCTGTTAGACCCAATTCCCCAGCCCTCACGGTGGTTCTGCCTGCTCGGAACTTGGTAGGGAATGTGGTGGTCCCATGGTACCTGTAAAGCAAAACTTGTATGTTCTGAGAGAAAGCTTCAAAGCTCTTTGTCCATAACAAAACTCACCAACCTCTGTGGGTCTGGGTACACTGAACTTCTGTGAACAAGGCGATCTGTCTTCCTCAGCTTTCCTCTGCTGCTCTCCCCTCCCTCCAGAGGGTGACTTGGATGCTCAGAACTTTCAGGCCTCTAAAAAGTTCCCTGATGTAGACTTGGCCTCTGCACAGCGGGTGTGAATGCACTGAAAAGTGTCTGTCTCTACAGGAGTCATCCACTGCCCAAGGGCTGGGAATCACTGCCCTGGCACTGCCTTCCTCCTTGCTCATCTGTTTTGAAAACCGCTCCTCGAGGCTGAACTGAGATATCTACAAACCATGCTGAAACACTCAGCAAGTGCTGTCCACAGCCACTCGCTCACCCCATCACTTGCACAACACATGGATGAGGATTCCCAGAGCAGCTCCACACACCACTGGTGCTGTTCAAGAGCAGGGGGTGTCTCACCATTAGGGTCTGCCCTGGAAAGAACAACATGGCCATTGGCTTGTGATACCCTGCTCCCTGTCCCCTGGTATCAGAAGCACACACTGCATAAAAAGCAGGGAGAAATGTTTGATTAAAAAGCTTCCTGCCTGGAAGCAATTCTGATCCTCGCTCAAACTCAGCCCCTAGAGTATACACTTCAATGTATGTATAAAGTCTTTTGGGGAGGGAGATGAGAAAGCATTAGGGGTTTATATTTGATACCGGCCTTGCTGGCATGTCAGAGCTCTGCTGCTCGTGTTTTCAAGACAGGAACCTTGGTAACAAGTGCTGGTGAGTGCAGCAGGCTCTCCACCCGAGTTACTGGTGCAGGTCTGGTTGTATGTTGTGCAAAAGGGTCAGAAGGGACAAAAACAAGAAAGAGAGAAGTGGGTTTAATACTTAAATCTTCCTTAAAGTGAAAATGTGAAAGGTCAGACAGCAGCAACAGCAACGGTGAGGAGTATTTTAGACCCAAATAGCACCTAAATCCAGGTGAGAAAGAGGCAGTCTGCAGCACCAGCAGGATCACAGAGCCCATCAGAAATAGCCACTAATCATGAGTCAGGAGCAAGCAAAGTCTGGGGCATGTCAGGAAATAAGAAGTCACCAGGACTATGGACAAACCTTACAAAGGGAGCTGTAATTCTGCAGGCCTGAGGAGTCACATTGTGATCAAAGAGCCACACAGGCACAAAAGGGAACAGCATGGAAACCAGAATCCTTCTCCTAACAGCAAACAGAGGTGAATTACAGCACAACAGATCCTTCCCAAATCACCCTCCAGGTCCCCAAAGCAATTGATGGAGGACTGCACACGTGATGCTGACTGACAAGCCTGCAAGATTGTCTGTGGGAAAGGAACAAGAGGGGTAATTTTATTGTCATGTACCACAGGGGGGTGTAAGTAAAATCACAGCATGAGAAAATGACAGTGTATCTGTCTTAGGTCATTTACATGCCTGGATAATCTGTGGGAGGAGAGCCAAAGCTGCTACATTTGACAGAGGCAACACAACAGTGATGTGCCTGGGAAACAGAAGCTTACACAGAAGATTTGCAAGCCCTACAATCCAATCTTGTGTTCATTGCTCCCAGAAACCAAAATGATCAGACTTCATAATTGAGGCTTCCAAACGGTTACGCTCTCCTCCCTCATTATGGGCTGGGTAATGGTCTCATCTTGCTGAGCACGCTGCAGGAATGCTGCAGAGGGACAGTCCCACGCTCAGAAGTGAATGTACATCCCAAGGACATGCTTAGAGGCCACAAAGACACCGTAGGCAGGTGGAGAAGCACTAACAGGCATGAGGGCAGACGGTGGGGAGCAGTTGCTGCCATAGGCTGTGTAACACAGTAGTTTTTAGAGGGGGTCTGGATGAAGGAGAAGATGCTTTGTTGGTGTTTGCAGGTTGCTTCTCTGCTGCAGAGGGAGGAGTAACCTGGGAGAAATAGGCAGGAACTGGCATGGCGGGCACACAGGCATGACTTAGCATCTCCGTAGCAGAAAAACTTTCAGAGCTAGATGGAGCAGGGTGGAAGAACAGGCCGTCTGCAGAAGAAGAAGTGTACACACACTGTGCAGCTCACATGAGAGGAGGGATTACAGGATCGCTGAGACACACTCCGCAGGACTCCAGCACTGCACCGTCAGAGCTTCCCAGTGAAAATCCTTGTGATAAGGACTGTGGAACTCTGCTCAGAACTGATAAGTGTGGTGGAAATCTGATTGTCCTGGGAAATCTGGGCACCTCAAAGGGATTTCAGCTGGGTAGACAGGGAGGAGGAGGTGGATCTTAGAGATATCCTGTGGGAAGAACTGGCTAGTTTTCAGCAGGGCCCAGATATAGGTATTAAGAGAGAGGTCAAGTTACAGAGGACCAAGGGGTTGAGCAGATGGTAAGAAAGAGACATCAAAAAAGGAAGCAGGGAAGAGCAAGACAAGAAGATTTAACGTTTCACTTTGACTGTGTTGAGCTGAAGCCAGGAGGTGGGTGTCCATGAAGTGCTGTCAGAAAGACAGACTGCAAATTAATCTGGGCAGTGCAGGACAGGCCAGGAGGAAAGCGATCGCTGTGAGGCAGCGGGAGGGGATTATAGATGCAACATTGGTAAATCAGGTCACCCAGACAGGGAGTGCAGAGAAGGCAAAGAGGAGGCAAGGGATGGAGCAGGTGAAGTAGCGAGCAGGCACTACTTGAGGACTGTCAAGCAGGACAGGCACAGCCTTAGATTACATCAACCCTGTCCCATTCTGTGAGCAGAGGGGAAGAAACATCCCTGCCTTGGGGGCAAGTGTGTCATACCAGCTACTGATAAGAAACCTGGAAAGAGCTTGGGAAGCTGCTGGGTCCCGGTTCTCCAAAGGTGAATTTCTGCCTCAGTTTCCCTGGAGCCACCTGGCTCCTGCAGCTGCAGAAACTTCATCTGGAGGGTAGGGAAGAAGAGAAACCTTCCAGTGGTTGGTGGCTGTAATGCACTTGAGCTTTTGGCAGCTCTATTTTAAGAAGGGGCAGTGAAGCACCCCCTCCAGAGACAGCTACAAGCTCACCACAAACCCAAAAGAGGGTAAAGCACCTTGTTGGTAGCCTTAGATTGGAAAAACCAACCCCACAGCTGAGGCTGGCAGGGAGTTGTGTCAGGAAATGGAGCATACCCAATGTAACTGCTGCCACCCAGGCACTGGAAGAGGCAGAGCTCCCTCTGTTATGCTCAGGGGCAGCAGCAGTGGGGTCCTGAAAGTCACAACTGACCCTGGATTACCCAGGCAGCTGCCTTTTGAGATCACCCCTTTACCTGCGGGTGCTGCTGGAAAGCAGAAGGCAGCGCTCAGAGAATGTCCAGCTTAACTTGGCACTGGCAATGGCCTCTGTGTCAGGAAGGGACTCATGGAGTCTCCAAAGGGAGGCAGAGGGTGTTTTGCAGCATTGGGCACTCACCCCAAGAGCTCAGAACAACAAAGAGATTCTGGGGAAAAAAAGAATCCATTTCCAGTGGCAGAGAGGCTCCTCCCCAGCCCAGCAATCCTGGGCAGAGAGAGGGGAAAAGAGGGCTGGGAAAAGACAGTGGAACTCAGATGGAAGAACAATAGGGCTGTATTAAGGGGGCCTACTCTGGTACTTAAACCAGCTTTAAGCAACTTTGCTGCTGCCTAATCTGAGGCTGATGACGAGTCAGTGTCTTGACAATCTGGAAATGCCTGGCCAAGTCAACGGAGAAGAGCAGGTGAGACACTTAACCCTTAAGCGTAGAGGTTATTCTGCTTGCATGTGCACAGCAAAGGCAAACAGCCTTTAGGTTTAAGCTGCACAAACCTTCATGGAAGCAAGATACGAAGAGTCAAGACCCAGCAGCCTGGGTTCTCACACTGCCTGCTCACCTGCCCCAGCAATTTGGACATTGTTTTACACACTTCATTTCCAAAGAGAATCGAGTCTGCAATGCACAGCTTTGTCCCAAATTCCATTACAAGACTTCATCAGATGACTCCAGACTCTGAGACTACTTTCTCTGCACAGTAATAGCCATTACTCCAGACCCTGTGAGCATTTTCATTACCCTTCCATTTTCCCTTTAGATATGACAAGCAATTCTCAGAAAATACGTTATAAACTCTTGCTCTGGAGTTCTGCCACCTTCAATTGCACTCTGCTTTGCTTCTCCAGCCCAAATCACTGTTTTAGATAGGATACGTGCAACGCAACTAAGTAAATGTGCAAAATCCAAACAGTAAAACACTCCCTGAAGCCCCCAGTGCTGCTTTACAGCTGGGAGTACAGGCTAGGGCCTGCCTTGCAGTTGGAAGAGCACCTCCAGTGTTCACAAGTCCTTGTAGACACAGATCAGCATGATCACTTGCTGCAGAGCAGATCTGGGCCGGTGTGAGGTTCTCTCACAGCCCATCAACAGGGATCTACCTCTGCCAGTCTGCTCTACCCATGGGTGGGCTGCAGGCAGCATCTCCTGGATGCTATGGATGGTCCTGGAAACACCTGAGGAAACACCTCAACCCCAGTGAGGGGCTGGAATGGCAAATCTGGATTCAGAAAGGGGCCATATGGCTCCCACTCTCACTGAAGACATTTAGGGTGCCTCAGGCTTGTTGTCACACAGAGGGCAATGGAGGATATACAGAGTAGATTCACTTGGGAACCCCAGCAGAGTACATATTTCCCCCTAACCTCATTTACATTTCTTGTGGCTCCTCGTGCTCCCCACGACTTCAACAGCCCTGCAGGCACAGGCTCTGGTCCATTGAAGCCTTCCAAGAAGCTAACAAGGTTATACCTCCCCAGGCAGCTCCTCCAAGCTGAACCACGACAGACCCCACGGGTGCAGTCAGTGTGGACTGCTGGTGAAATGCTGCACTAAGGACCAGCAGCGAGGCAGGTTATTCATCATGTGGAGCTGTGCTGCACTCCAGGATCAATGCAGCACACAGGGTGAGGGCTAACCACTGGAGAAAGCCATGACGAAAAGCCTGCTCGAATGCACTTGCAGAAGGATTTACACAGCAAATTAACTCCACTGGTTGAGTTACCTCCATAAGACTTGGTTTTTTTCATTTCAGAACCTCCAAAGGCTGCACAGACCCTCTGGTGCCAAAGAGGAGAGCTGCTGCCTGCACACTGTGAGAACAGCCCCTTCACCCTGCCACCTAACAACAACTACCTGCATTTTCGATGGAGATCTCCATTACCTGTGTCACTGTGCTGGTGGTTGTATTGCTGTGTCTGTCTGGAGCTCCTTGGGTTGACTCAGGACATTCATGTGCTGTTCCCAGCTCTGCTGCTTCCTCTCACTGTAAAACAAAGCACATTACTCAGGGTGGACATGTTCTCTTATTTTGGTTGCCTTCATGGTTTGGTCTGTTCAGAGGCTCTGTGCTCTGCTTTCAAGTCCAGAATTGTCTGTGCAGAGCCTGACGAGGGGAATTTGTACCTGCAAAGCATACATCCTAGATGCTCTTCCCAAACAGCAGAGCTCTGACTAAGATGGCTTTGGAAGAGCCTCCTGCACAGCACAGTGGCATGGTGAAGCCCCTCCTATGTCCTGTGTGGGACAAGCAGCCCTCACCTCTCCTGTGCAAAGGCTTTCAGCCCCACAGCACTGTGGGAGTTTGCTCTAAGCAGCACTTTCTCATGATTCAGGGAGAGGTCCTACAGACTCTGTTTCCCTTTCTAGTGTGGTCTGTCCTCACTCATCAGCATCTGAGGGCCCCTGAACCTTACACGTGTTCACTGAGCTAGTGCTCATTTCATGTCAGACTGGATGCCATGTTTGGTATCACAGCAGAGCTTGGAGACCTCCCAGCCTGGAAAGCAGGATGCTCTGAGCTGACCTGAGTGACAACTGCCAGAGGCCATATCCACCACGTACCTCTGTGTGTGTTCAGACCTTTGGAACACACCACTGCAGTGCCTCTGTGCCCGCAGCGCTGGGTTCCCTGCCCCTCATTCAGATAACCACCACCCCCCAATTTTAAAAGGCCCAATCCTTACCAGTCCCCATGTCCCTGTACACCCCTGCAGAGCACGGGGAATCCATCACCCCCTGCCCACGTTTGCTGAGCCCACGCTTGCCATCAGAGCCCGTTCTCTACTCTGGGTGCCTGCAGCACTGAGCACCTTTAGGGGTGCTCAACTACAGGGTAATTAATTAACTCCAGGAATCACTTGTATTATCTGCAATGGAAGACAGCTCTCATGAAGCCAGCGCTGGAGGTGCAGCGGCCCAGGGCACAGCTCCGGTGTGTGGCGCTGCAGTGCCTGCCGGCGGGGCACTCTCAGCTGCTGGCATTCCTAGGTGAGTAAATTCCTACTGCAAATGACTCTGATGAAGTGGCTGTTATTAGAAAGGCAGACACAAAGGGAGCCCGCTGACTGGCTGGCAGTGATGTCACCGGCACTCACCGCACACATCCCCGTTTGCTCAGCTACATTGTGTGTATAATGTTCTTTTCTACAGGCAATAAGGACTCACGGCAGAGCCCTTCACCCCATGGTGGGGGGGGGTGGGTGTACTTCTCAAGTGGCTGCTGAAAGCAGAGCAGCCTTTGTTCCTCTCTCGCACTGAGCCTAAGGCTAACAGTTTTCACCCACAAAGGCACTGTGTTATTGCTCTATTACAAACCCACCACTCCGTTTTCTAGGGTGGGTAGCAGAGAAATTGGCGTTTTTTGGCTTGCCTGTACCTAAAAATCATTCTGATCACAGAGATTTTGCTATCTAGAAGCCGAAACTTAAAGTACAGAAAAAGTTAACAGCCTGGGTCTCATTCTGTTTTGCAAGCAGCCAGGCAGCAAAACCCCAACCAGTTCTTTATTTTGTGAGTTCCACATGCTGGTTTTTGCTCCCTGCGCAGGCACTGTGGAACTCTCAGGGAGCTCTGCCAGTGGGGCAGGCTCATTTCTCTCCCCTAACTGAATGTCCTATCAAACTTCCAGAATTTGCCTAGCCAATGTTGCAGCTTCCATCATTTCTGGATGCAAACAGGCATGCTGGTACAGCTTAAATGGCAGAACCCCGTGCAGACAGCAGGCACGAAGCACCACTTGCCTCACAGAACTGGAATGAGCTTTCAAATCCAAGGAGGCCTGCCAAGCCGGCCCCGCGGGGCTGTGGGCAGCTCTGCAGCTCCCTCGGGCAGTGCTCCTGCAGCTCTGGGCTCCAGCCTTCACCACACGGGGACGCGGGCAGAGCGGGAGGTTTCCCGTACCTGCTGCTTCCTCCCTCCATCACGTACAGCTGAGGTGTAAGTTTTGCTGGGAAGGCCAAGTGTAACATCCCCAGCTCCTGCTTGGGCTGTACAAACACTGCTCTCCTCTAACACACGCAGCACAAACCCAGAGCTGACCTACACAACTTGCCTGTTCCCCTTGGATTATGGCTCTGAAGTCATTTGTCCTACAAGGGCAGAACAGAAACCACATCTATCACTTGGAAGATGTCCTGGAAACCCCCGGATAGTTGCACTGATGAAACTGGACACTGAGGATGGCTGGAGAGCTCAAGCAGAGTTAGATTTGCTGTTCCCAGTCCAGGGGTCATGACTCTCTGCAACATCATCAGCTCCACTTTATTCCAGGTGGCTTGAAGTTGGAAATCATTGTCTGTTATTGCCTGAAGATTTGCTGAGCTGCCTGCCCTTTGCAGATAGCAGCTGCCCTCCGACTCCCAGATGCTGGATCTGAGGCTTCTGAAGTCCTGAGGGTGAAGGCGCAAGAACAGGCATCAGGGAAAGAAAGAGCCTGACTGAATCAGAGTTTAAAAAGAATGTGAAGGCAGAAGTCCTAGGAGAGGGAGCTGGCTGGCTGGGACATGTGGTCAGGATCAGCAGAAAGGGTCCAGGTTTAAAGACCTGGAACAGATTCAGATCACTCCTTTCACATGTGACCTCCTTTCCTGTTTGAGGAAGACAGCAAAGAGCAGGATCCAGTCTGGACTGAATCCCGGATCCTTTCTTTGCCAATGCACAGCTTCGCCTAACATCCCTCTGTGCTTTTACCACTCCCCGGGCAGCATACAGGGTTAGCAAAAGCATCAGAAGAATCTCAAGTAAAACAACTTCATTGGTTTTAAGAGCTCTCTTACAGTATCTCTGGAGCTCAGGCATGCTCCACCACAGACCAGAGGCAGGAAGCTCAGAACAGCCTGTGGACACTGCATTACTATTCAGAACTGTATCGAGTTCCCAAATGGCAACCACTGTCCAAAAAAAGAACAGAACACCCCCCCACACCCCCATACAGCACAACCAAATGAGCATGCTGAGCCTAACTCTGCTTCCCTTCCTCACACAGAGTAACCCCCTTGCTCCCATCTTGGATTTCAGCAGCGTTCCTTCCCCATGTGAAGCAGCCAGGCTCTAGTGGAGAACTTGGTCCCACCTACTTATCACTTACAACAGGAATTCCTTCATCACTTGGCTTTTTAATAAAGCTGGGGTTTGATGTACCAGTCAGCCCCCCCCTTTCACCTGAGGACAGTATCAGAACCATGTCTGGATTATAACACTCAAGAAGCTGTTCTGGGGTGATAGGAATCAAAGCCCTGAAAGTGGGACTGGGTTTAATTCATCGTGGCTGATTTGATGGTGGATTGAGAGGTTCAGGATTGGCCTGGGGGATAGTTACCACAGGGTACATTGAATTAGGGTGATAGCTTTTCATTTCTAGCAATGTGGGAGGGAAGCGGGGAGGAAATAAGTGAATAATTGCACCTAATTAGAACTTGTGTGTGCATCCCAAATTAATCTGTTGAATAATCAACCACCACCAACAGAGTGATTCAAAAGGAAAAGGAAACAACAGCCCAGAAAGATCTAGATGGCTCCCATAAATTCCTCAGGATGGGACAAATGTTTTATGGAGCTGCGGCCCTAACTACAGAAGGGGAAAGAGACAAGATTACTGAGTGGAAACACTTGTTTTGCCTAAGATGAATGATAAAGAAAAGGGATGAGGACAGCGGGGGACAGCGGGTGATGCTCCTGCCTGACTCTCTTTCCTATCCGCTCACAACACACGGCTGGGACACCACATCCAGCCCCAGGGAAATGCGGGGTGGCTGCAGGGGGACCAGACACGCCACTGCTGTCACTGCAGAGATAATGAAAGGTATCCAGGCTAGCAGAGAGGGCAGATGGAGGCAAAGCTGCAGCTAGCAATCTGTGTGCAAGCACCGACCAACCCACTGCTCCCTGTCCACAGGATCCCCATAATCTCCCAAGGCAGACCTGCTGTTACAAACACTCTCATCACTAACGCAGCGGGGGCAGCTAAGCAGAGAGAGGGAATGATCTAGCAGGGGGTTAATAAAAGGACTGACGCAGAACAAAAAAGCCTGTCACTCGCCCCAAGATGTGCTCTCCATCCCTTCCACCCCCCAGGAAATTAAAAATCCCAGCCTGGGGTGTACACTGTGTTCTCAGCAGGACTGGATGGGGAATGGGATGTGGAAGGGTAGGATGGGAAGGGGAAAGTTGGGAGTCAAATTTTGTGCCAGCTGTCGTTTCCGGTGTGATAGATCTGGCGTTATTCTGAAGGACCAGGTTACCTGGTCTTTAAAAGCCTGACAAGACCAAGCCATGTTTCTGAGCGCTGTTGCCAGCAGCTCCTCCCGGAGAGAGTCCTGCCGGGCAGGAGGGCCAAGCTGCTCTGCCTGACACCAAAGTCCATGCTAGCATGTTTCCATGGAAATGGGAACAGAACAAGTGCCTGTGGCATGACACACCTTTTCTGATGCAGATTTGGACCATTTCTGACATCCCTTCTTGCTGACAACCTCAGGACTGGAGATTTTAGGAGCACAATCAGAACAAGAAGGGAAAAATATGTGATTGTACACAACAAAACCCCTCACCCTCTCCGGTGAGCAGCAGCTGAACCAAAACCATCCTTCAAGGCAAGGAGACTTCCACACTAAATATAGTCTGGTAATCACAGGGTCCTTGTTTCTCACAAGCAGGTAGCAATGATCTGCTCCTTCCCCTCTTCAGGATATTTTGGGTAAAGTTTCCAGCATTTTCCCCCCCTCCAAAGGAATGAAATGTCTTTGCTTGGGGGTGGATCCCCCACTGCCCATTTCCTCCCTGCATTGGCTTCTCTGCAGTGCACTGTCCGCAGCTTGGGAGGCAGGCACAGGCAGATGCAGGGCAGGTACGGGCAGAAGCAGGCAGGTGCGGGAAGGGAGCAGGCAGGGAGTGGGCAGAGAGGCAGAAGCGGGCAGGGAGCAGGGCAGGAGCAGGCAGAGGCAGGTAGGGAGCAGACAGGAGAAGGGCAGGAGCAGGCAGAGGCAGGTA